TCAATATACCATAGTAATAAAGGAATTAAAATATGCAAGAGATCATATCAAGAAAACCTTTACAATTTTGATATCCAAATTCTAGGATTTTGCCAAAAATCATAATTTTTGGGAACAAGTATTAGATGAAAACATGATTTAATCAAGAATAGGAATTTAGAAATCAAGAATTCATGTATTTTTCACAATCAAGTATGTATTTAGCAAACTAGGATTTTAGAAATTGGAGAACAAGTATTCCTTGAACCCAAACATGTATTTTGTTCAAAATTATGTTTCAATGATAAAGAAATCAACAATTCATACATATTTATCATATATCTATCAAGAAGATTGAAAACATATATATAATACCCTAAGTCATACATATATAATACCCTAAGTCATACATATATAATACTTTAAGTCTCAATGAAAGAACTCAAGAAGATCCCATACCTTGACTTTGTACTTTGTGGGTAAACATAGTGTGTTTGACTCGCTTTAACGTGAAAATTCCCCTTCAATCTTGCGTTTTTCCTATTTCCACTTTATCTCTAAGGTTCTATAGGGTTAGAACTGATGAAATAGGGCTAGGGAAGATGTCCTTAGGTATTTATAGTATGAGATAATAGTCCAATTGGTGCAGACCTGATACTCAAAATCACAACATCACATTCGAACTAAAGGCCTAATGTTCGAACTATCTATATGACGTTCGAATGTAATGTTGGGCTTTCAAATGTTGGCTGCTCCCAGTACTTTTGCTTTTGCATCAGTGTTTCTAGTATACACAAAAACACTAAGACTAACTGTCGTTTGAATGGATCCATTTACGTTCGAACGGACTCCAATTTTAGCTAAACCTCCATGGACGTTTTGACCTGCGTAGAGGTAGATTTATAAACTTTTCGTGAAATACACTTTTGTAGCCTTGGAAGTATAGTTTCTACTGTAAAAATTTCAGATCAATTGGATATCTGGGTAAAAATTTATGGTCTAAATATTAAGGTAGTATCAAATTTCTTCCTACTCGAATTCTCTCTAAAATGTGCTTTAACTTCGGAATATTTCCTACTAATTCACCCCCTAGTACCTCTCTCAAAGTTTTTATTTCTACTCTAATAATCTATATGGTTCATTCTCACGTCATTACATATATGAGCATTACAAAATTATTACATCACTAAATTAAAATAAACATGTGGGGGTTTACAATCCACCCTTCTTAAAGAAAGTTTCGTCCTCGAAACTTACCTTGTGTAGAGAAAAAATGAGGGTACTTCTCTTGCATCTCCAACTCTGGTTCCCATGTAGCTTCATCCACCCCATGATGTTGCCACAAACCTTCATTAGTTGGATTACTTTATTACAAATCACCTTTTTTGTGGTATCTAGAATCTTCACTGGCTGTTCTTCATATGTTACTCCGTATTGAATTTCAATTCTTTCCAAATCCACGGCATTCGTTGTATTAGATTTGTACTTTCTTAACATTGATACATGGAACACATCATGTACCCTTGAAAACTGGCATGGTAACCTTAAGTTGATGCACCAATTTACCCACAACTTTGATCACTTCAAATGGTCCAATGTACATTGGGGCTAACTTCCCCTTCTTGCCAAATCTAAACACCCTTTTTGGATGACACTTTGAGGAACACATAGTCCCCCTCTCGGAATCCCATTTTTCTTTTATCTACATAGCTTTTTTGTCTACTCTGAGCCGTACGTAGTCTTTCCCTAATTAGTTGAATTTTTTCTTTAGTCTTTTGAACAATTTCTGGTCTAAACAAGCTATTCTTTCCGACTTTTAGCCAACAAGTCGGGGACCTACATGGTCTTTCATACAATGCCTCTTCAGGATCCATTCCTATACTTGCCTAATAGCCATTGTTATAGGTGAATTCCACCAATGGGAGATGTTCACTTCAACTCCCCTAGAGGTCAAGAACACATGCCCTTAACATATCTTCGACAATTTGGATCACCCTCTCCGATTGTCCATCTGTTTGAGGATGAAAGGCTATACTGAAATGCAACTCTATTCCCAATGTCTTTTATAAGCTCTGCCAAAATTTAGTTGCAAATCAACTATCTCAATCAGACACAATTGACAACGATACCCCATGTAACATCACTATCTCCTGGATGTATAACTGGCTCAAGGTTACCAAATTATGTATGGTCTTAACAGGTATAAAGTGGGCAGTCTTTGTCAATCTATCAACTACCACCCAAATTGCATTATGACCCTTGACGTTCCTGAGTAACCTTGACTCATTCATAGTAACATGGTCCCACTTCCACTCAAGAATCGGTAAGGATTGTAGTGAACCTCCCAGTCTTTGATGCTTAATCTCTACCTTCTGACACACTACACACTTTGCAATGTACTTAGCCACGTCTTGTTTCATTCCTTTCCACCAATATTGATGCCTCATATCTCTATACATCTTAGTACTGCCCGAATGTATGGAGAATTTTGAATGATGGTTCTCCTCCAACACTTCTTCCCTTACCTGTTCATTATTTGGTACACATAGTCTTCTACGAAACTGTAACTCATCATTATATACAAACCAATTCTTAACAATCTCATTCCTCTCCAATCTACCGCAGATACTTTCCAAATATGTATCTAATTGTTGCAACTATATAATCCTTTGTTGGAGAATTGGTTGAACTACAAGATTAAATAAGCATGGTCGATCCTTCTGTTTATCCAACAATAGGTCAAATTCCTCCAAAGCTTCAACCATCTTCCACCTATCAATAGTAAGAACATTGATTTCGCCTTGAGATTTTCTGCTAAGTGCATCTGCTACCACATTAGCCTTCCCTGAATGGTAGTTGAGTGTGAAATCACAATCTTCCAGGTATTCAATCCACTTTCTTTGCCAAAGATTCAGGTCTTTTTGCATGATTATATACTTGAGACTCTTGTGATCAGAAAATACTTGAAACTTTTCTCTATACAGGTAACACCTCCATAACTTAAGAGCAAAAACTATACTAGCTAGCTCCAAGTCGTGAATAGGATAGTTCTACTCATGAATTTTTTAGGTGTCTCAAGCCACGAGAAATACCTCCCTGCATTAGAACACATCCCAAGCCTCGTAAAGAATTATCTGTGTAAACATCGTATCCTTTTCCACTGTTCAGAATAATAAGGACAAGTGTTGTTGCCAACCTTTCCCTTAATGTGCAGAAGGCTAGTTCACACTCTTGAGTCCACAAGAATCTTTCCCCCTTCTTCGTAAGGTGGGTCATTGGCATGGCCAACTTTGAGAACCCTTTCACAAACCTCCTATAATAGCCTACTAAGCTTAGGAACTACGTATCTCAGTCACATTCCTCGGTGGCTCCCACTTTCATCACTACTTCAATCTTTGCGGGGTCAATAACTACACCCTGTTCTGACACAACATGGCCAAGGAATTTCACTTCCTTCATCCAAAACTCACATTTACTCATCTTAGTATATAACTTATGTTCTCTCAATGTCTGTAGCACCAATCGAATATGGTGTTCATGTTCCCCTTATGTATGCGAATAAATCAATATGTCATTAATAAATACAATAAAAAATTGATCAAGATACAGTCTAAATACTCTATGCATCAAATACATAAAGGCTGCAAGAGCATTAGTCAATCTGAATGGCATTACTATATATTCGAAATGATCATACCTAGTACAAAAATTTGTCTTAGAAATATCCTCCACCTTGATCCTTAGTTGATGGTACTCTGTGCAAAGATCAATCTTGGATAGTACTTAAAACCCCTCAGCTGATCAAATAAATCATCAATTTGTGGTAATGAGTATTTAATCTTTACTATCACTTAGTTCAACCTCCGATAGTCTGTACATAACTAAAGTGTTTCATCATGCTTCTTCAAAAAAGAGAGATGATGCACAAATTGGTCTCGTGCAAGATCAACAGTCGAGTATATGAAGAGGTACAATTAATGGACAATAAATAAAGCAATCAATGGTAAAATATTAAATATGATCAAACATGGAGATATATAGTGATTCCGTCTGGGTGACCTATTCCACTATTGGAAAACGACGGCGGTAGCCAGAGGTCTTTATTGATGAATAAAATAATCAAGAGAGCACACTCCGGGGGAATTACAATGGTTAGGGGAGAGAAGCTTGGTGTAGGGAGGTGTAGAGAGACAAATCTTAATGTGTAGAGATGTGTGTTGGAAGAGATGTCTCTCCATGTGGAGAGAGCTTATAATATACAGGTCTGTTGAGGCAGTAAGATGAGACAGTGATGTGAGTGAGAGGGCACTACTTCTTTGGTAAGTATAATTAAGGTATTATTGATTTTTCATGAGTGCATATCCCGATAATCTCTCTCTCACATGCTTTTATCTTCCTTGACTCGGATCTTGGACTGAGTTGGATTAATAAAGTGGGCTTGGGCTGCCTTTTAGCTGACTCGGGCTTGGTTGATTAATTAGATCTGGCCCAATTGGTTTTGGGCTCTTCATTTGCCCCCATGCCCTAGTGGTGAAGGGGTTGAGGGCATGAGTGAGCTTGGGCAGATAGGTTTCTTCTTCTCCACGGTTGTGACTTCTTCGATTCTCAATTTCTGTCTGTAAAAATTCGTTCCCTATTTGGTATCACCATAACAATGTCGGTTGCTTTTTTTTTTTGTTTGACCTCCTTTCACCTAGGCTTTGTGTTTTAGGACTTTGCAAGCCTTCTTAGAGCATCTTACCTGTACTCAGGACTCAAAAAATCTTGAAAACCCCTTTTTCTTCATTCTTCCATTTAGAGTAGTAAACCTCCATAGAAGGTGAGGAGGGATTCGGTGAAGAGGGCTTCGATCACATGGTGTCCTTGGTGGAGGCTTCTTAATAGAGAGGAGAGAGGTGGCTCAAGGCAGGTCATGTGGCGCCATTGGAGAGACCTAGTAGTTTGGTGTGTCAACCTAGGCGCTGGGTGACGCTGATGAGCCCCTAAGCGGTGCCTGTGCTCAGGGTGATAAGACGGCAGCGATGGGTGGTGCTAGTTTAGACGGTATTGGATCTGGCGAGGTTAGCAAGGAGGGTCACGCCCAGATGAAAGGCGCCCGCGAAGGAGCTGAGGGCGGTGCACATGGTGGGCAAGCCGAATGAAAGGGGCAAGTGTTGGAGAGAGGAGAGGCGAGATATAGGTGGCGCTAGGGGCTTGTTGGAGGCGCCCAAGGTGCCGCTGGAGGAGCCCAAGGCGATGTTGGAGGCACCCAAGGGGTAACTAGAGATGCCCAAGGTGCTACAAGGGGCTGTTGGGGTACCCAAGGGGCACTGCTAGAGGTGCGCAAGGGGCTGCTGGAGATTCCCAAGGCACTGTTGGAGGAGCTTAAGGGGCTGTTGGGTTGGCAGCAAGCGACGCCTAGCAGAAAATTATAAAAAGATGGCAAAAACTTTGAACGACCATAACTTTGTGTTCAGTTGTCTGTTTGAGGCAATATTTTTTGAATTCGGGTATTTTTTCAAGATCTACAACATACAAACCTTTTCCCAAGCCATGGTCAACAAATTTTCCCAAAAAATGCTTTTATCTCTCTAAATTTGAGTTTTAAGCACAAATTAGTGAAACTGACAGTAATGGAAGCTACGTTTCTGTCAGGCATTCATGGGCAAAGAATTGGTATTCTGGGGTTTTGATACAGAGGGAGACTATGATGGTGTCGATTAGGTAAGAGGCGAACCCGCTTTCACCAATTCTGATTTATCCTTAAAGTTTTGTCGATGCTGGTTCTTTATACTGATCTTCTCTTTAATTACAGGTGCTCTTATTGATAGAGCGATGGTGGAGGTTTTCTATGCTTTTAGGGTGGTGGCTTCCCCTCCTCCCAAAAGGGCAATGTTTGATGGGACCCGGTGGTGCCCCCACACTTCCCAGATTGTAACTCATGTGTGTACTAGAGCTAGCTCTTATACCGTTGTAGGAGTTGAGACTCCAGTGTAGTCTTCTGTTGGACTGTAGCTCCACATAGTTGTCTTGCTTTTAGTAGTGGTTTAGTGTCAGTGCTTTGACTTGACTTGACTTTGGAGGTCTATGACTCCTGGGGAAATCAGAGAGGTTGGACCTTGAGATACCGCGATGGAGAAGTCTTCCATGGTATGCCTTTCTTTCACATTTGATTTTGCACTCGCTTGCATTCCTTTTGTTTTGCTTTTTGAATGCTTGTAGGTGGCTCATGAGAGAGTAACACCTCTTGAGGCTGAGCTTTTGAGCGACTCTTAAGAGAGGCGCTAAGTTGGAAATTGAGGCTGCTTGGGAGTAGAGATAGGATTAGGCCGAGCTTCTTAACGACTCTCCAGAGAGCACGAAGCTGGATACATAGGCTGCTTAGGAGTAGAGATAGATTTAGGCCGAGCTTTTTGGCGACTTGTAATGCCCCAAAATCTCCCTTGGACGACATTATAATCTAAAACCATTCACATCATGAGAGCAACTAATAAAATTCATAAATAAAGATAATTTCATTCATCATCCATAAATGTACACAACATCATCCCAAAAGAATATGCCAAACATGACCCTTGTATCCAAAAGAATATGATAAACTATGGCAATTACATCTATCAAAATCGAATTGGAACTTTGTAGCGGAATGACAAAAAGTTTGACTTTACATAGTCTCAAAAGGAATGTCCTAGTCTATCACAAAAGAGAATATAATTCTAGACGTCCATCTCGGGATCTACGTTTCCCTCTATTGGAGCTTCCCAATGTGTCTATTCATCTACTCCGAGCTCCTCCTCTAGCACAATTTGAAAAATATGTTGTTGTAGGGGGTGAGCACAAAGCTCTGTAGCAACATTCTCCCAAACTCGAACAAAGTTTAACAAACATATAAAACAGTTCGGTCTCATTTTACAAATATCATATATAGCTTTTGAAGGAAAACAAGGACATTTCAATGGATCTCAAGTTTACACAATAGCAATAAGTTAAATGAAAGGAATAAACATATGAAGAAATCAATTAATCATTCAATAGCATCATCTCATATTCTCATGTATGCTAGTTGCTTCCCATGAATCTACACCACGATTCTACGTCGTTCACCCACCATAATCACACTATCCCAAACATTTTAGGAAGGGCGTATACCATCTCTCACGGCATTGATGAATCCTTCCCAGGAAAGGTATACTAACCCTCAGACTCGAACTTACGTGAACAATAGTGGTTGCTCTCACAAACAACAATCCACTACAAGTGTTAGGAAACCATCTCACCCCCACTGAGATAGACTAACCTCTAACAATCTACAACAATGCTCAAATGCAATTTAAGTCCATCACAACAACCATACAAGATGTGCAATAACAAATATTTTCTTAAATCACAAGGAAATCTAAAATTTTCAAATTTCACAATTTGTATTACAAGGGAACAATTTAAGAAAATAAACAAGAGATCATCAACAACCCATTTTTATTGTTCATTACAAAGCACTAAGGTTTGAAAATCAAGAACAAGGGAAAAATCGAGAGAAAAACCCCTTTCTCTTGGAAACTAGGGTTTTGAGTCAAGAAAAAGAGTTTTCATGGTTATCAAACCTTAGCTTTGTTTAAAACATGATAATCTTTGGAAAAATAACAAGAAAGGGTGATTTTATAGCATATATATCTAAATGAGAGTGAAAACATACATATATACATATAAGCCTTAGTCTCAATGGTCAAGAATGGAAGGAACCCCTACCTTGGTGTTCTTGAAAAATTAGGGCTTTAATCCAATTCAATGTGCAAATTCCCTTTGATCTTGTGTTTTTCCCTCTCTTTCTTCCTCTCTATGGTTTCCTAGGGTTAGAGATGTTGAAATGGGGCTAAAGGAGTTGTCCTTAAGTATTTATAGTGGAAGGAAGGCCGGCTGTTTGCGACTTAAAAATTTAGATTTTTGGAAAACCTTCCGAAAGGTTTTTTATCGACCTTTTAGAAGGTTTGCCTACTGGACAAACATTTACATTAACCTTCCGGAAGGTTTTTCATTGACCTTTCGGAAGGTTTGCCTACTGGACAAACAGTTACATTAACCTTCCGGAAGGTTTTCATAGATCTTCCAGAAGATTTTGCCTACTGGACAAACATTTTCATTAACCTTCTGGAAGGTTTTGCCCGTTTTTCTACAAATCATTCCTTCTTCATTTCCAACTCATTCCAATCCATTCCACAACCATCCAAAGCCAACCCGAACTTATACAACATACATTTGTACATCAAACATAATTGATACAAGTTCTATTACAAAGGATTTCATACATTTACCCAGGTTTTCACAATATTAGCATTTCTACGGTTATAACCTATATGGTTTAGTCCTACGCCATTACATAAATTAAAATTAATAACACTTTTATCATTATATTAATATCAACATGTGGGGGGTTTACAATCCACCTCCCTTAAAAAAAGTTTCGACCTCAAAACTTACCTCAAGCAGAGAACAAATGAGGGTACTTCTTTCACATTTCCAGCTCTGGTTCCCAAGTATCTTCCTCCACTCCATGATGTTGCCACAATACTTTCACCAGTTGGATTACTTTGTTACGAAGCACCTTCTTCTTGGTGTCGAGGATCCTTACCGGCTGTTCTTCATATGTTGTCCCATCTTGAATTTTAATATCTTCCAAATCCACGACCTGCGTTGTATCCGATTGACATTTCCTTAACATTGACACATGGAACATGTTATGTAACCCTGATAGCTGAGTTGGTAACCGAAGTTGATACGCCACCTTGCCCACCGCTTTGATCACTTCCAACGGTCCGATGTACCTTGGAGCTAATTTTCCCTTCTTGCCAAATCTAAACATTCCTTTCTTGGGTGACACCTTGAGGAACACATAGTCCCCCTCTTAGAATTCCAAGGGTCTTCATCTTCTATTCACATAGCTTTTCTATTTACTTTGACCCGTGGCGTAGTCTCTCTTGGATGAGTTGAATTTTTTCCGTAGTCTCCCAAACAATATCTGGCCCAAACAAACTACTTTCTCTAGCTTCTAGCCAACAAGTCGGTGACCTACATGGTCTCCCATAAAATGCTTCATAAGGTGCCATGCCAATGCTGGATTGAAAGCTATTGTTATATGCAAACTGCACCAACGGTAAATGATCACTCCAGCTTCCCTTGAAGTCCAACACACAAGCTCGTAGCATGTCCTCCAAAATTTGTATCACTCTATCGGATTGGCCATCCGTTTGAGGATGAAAGGTGGTGCTAAAGTGTAACTCTGTCCCCATGGTTCATTGTAGACTTTGCTAGAATTACACCACAAAATGAGAATCATGATCCGAAACAATAGATAGTGGAATTCCATGTAATCTAACAATCTCGCGAATATACAGCTTGCTCAAGGTCTCTAATGTGTCAGTGGTCTTCATATTCAAGAAATGAGTGGACTTGGTGAGTCTATCAACAATGACCCATACGACATTATGCCCTCGTGAAGTCCGTGGAAAGCCAGACCTGAAATCCATGGTGATGTGATCCCATTCCCATTCCGGAATAGGCTAGGACTATAGTAGTCCTCCGGGTTTTTGATGCTCAATCTTCACTTACTGACACACCGTGCACTTTGAAACGTACTTAGCCACATCTTGTTTCATTCCTTTCCACCAATATTGATGCTTCATGTCTCTATACATCTTGTATGGAGAATTTTGAACGATGGCACTCACCCAACACTTCTTCCCTAACTTGGTCATTATTTGGTACACATAGTCTCCCATAAAACTGTAACTCATCATCGTGTATCGACCAATTTTCAATAATCTCATTTCTCTCCAATCTACCCCGGATAGCTCCCAACTCGACATCTAGTTGTTGCAACTCCACAATCATTTGTCGAAGAATTGGTTGAGCTACAAGATTAAATAAGCATGGTTGATCCCTCTGTCTATCCACCCATAGATCAAATTCCTCCAACGCATCAATCATCTTCCACCTATTAACAACAATAACATTGATTTCACCTCGAGACTTTTGGCTAAGTGCATCTGTTACTACATTAGCCTTCCTTAGATGGTAGTTGAGTGTGAAATCGTAGTCTTCTAGATATTCAATCCATCTTTGTTGCCGAAGGTTCAAGTCTTTCTATGTGAAGATATACTTGAGGCTCTTATGATCTAAAAACACTTGAAACTTTTCTCTATAAAGGTAACACCTCCACAACTTAAGAGCAAAAACTATAGTAGCAAGCTATAAGTCATAGGCAGGATAATTTTGCTTATGGATCTTTAGTTGTCTCGAGCCATAAGCAACTACCTTATCCCCTACATAAGCACACATCCTAAGCCTCGTAACAAAGCATCGGTGTAAACATCATACCCTTCCCCATTGCTCAGAATAATGAGGAC